TATTCAAAATAATTTTGTATTAAAAAATATTATTGATCAATGTTGATTGTCATTGACCAAGAAAAATCAATTTGACGAACCTTTTCGGGACGGAGGGAGTACGTATTAACTAGTTTACTGCTACAACTTTGGTAAATCAAGCCTACGAATTTTCATATTCTGAAAATGTTGCATAATAGTTCCATTATCAAATATTGGTATGAAATGGGGACACTTGTTTTTACCTTAAGTGCTACTTATGAAATTCTGAGCCCGAGGCGGAACACTTATTTTTACCTTAAGTGCTACTAGTGAAATTCCGGACTCGAAATGGAGGCACACTCAGGCACGTGCCCCCCTAACCTCACCTTAGGTGATTAGGTCCTCCACTGTATAGAACAATAAACGACTGATATTGAGTTGTTATGGGGTGAATAAACTCATACTACCTACCTCCTAAAAAACTTTGCCATTTTATAAAATTTAAAGCTTAATTTTGATAAGTATAATATTATGGAAATTAGAAAATTTATACTTTTATGAAAGTACTTTTAACAAAGAACATTATCATATAATTTTTATAATATAAATAATTTCCAATAAAAAAATATAGTTGGTCAAAGTTTTGAAAATGACAAATTTTTTTTGGGACGAAGGTAGTAATTAATATGGTATGGAACAAATTTATAAGGACACATAAAAAAGAAACAATCCGATTTTAACAAGATTAAAGAATAATACGAAGTACGGAGTATATAAGATCATGATAAATTTTAACAAGATTGAACTTTTTACGATGAACTTTAGTTTTATTTTAATATACATCTTCTTATTTGTTTTAATATGACTAAAGAATAATATATTTTGTTCGTCGGCGGGACAAAGGTTACTGTTGTCCATATAGTGAATTTTTTCTTTAAAATATTTAAATTTTAACATTTAGAAGCTACGATTAAAAATCTATTGAAAAAAAGAATTGAATTATTATTGCGGTATTGCCATTATGCGTTAAAAATGAGATGCACTTTTCTTTACGAATGTTTATGTTTGTACTTCCTCCGTTCTTTGAAAATAAAATTGTAACGATTCAGTTTTCACATTTGTCAACATACAAGTTTAACAATTAATATATTTCATTTTTTATTCGTAAAAAAAATAAAATTTTAATGTTTTGAAAATATTCGAGAGGAATCTATCAATAGTTTTTAGATAGTAATGCCTTTTCTTAATTTATTTAAGGAGTATTAGTTTTACACTTTTACAGATATACTGAGTATTTAAAAACATGTCTTTAATTTAGGCACATGATTTGTCATCCCTTTCCTTTATCCGATAGCATTTTGGTGCTTTAGTGGGTCATTCTTGGTGAAAATGGCAGAATATTTCTATCTTAGGGAAGCTACGACATACCCAGTTTGACTCCTATACATGGAATTATGGAATGCTCTTAAATTAAGTTAATAAAATCAACTTTAAATTTTAGGGCTCATTTTCTAGATTTATATGACGTTTAATGAACTAAAAATTAATTAGACATACATGTATGAGCAAAAAACTGTACTTACATAGTTATATGAATCATCTTACTTTTGGAAATTGCGTAATACAAAAAACTTGAAACATTTTGATTTCATACTTTTTTTTTCAAATATTCTCATTATTCTGAAACAAAAACAAAAAAAAAATGAAAAGAGAAAAACGATACCCGTTATGGCCTCATTTGGATTTTGTAGGATGGTCAAAATAAAGATGATCCTCTTGACAAGATCCAATTTCTTTGGTTGTATGCATTTATTTCTCTATTTCGGGCACTACTGCTGATTACCAGTTTTCTTAAAAATATTATTGAAATAAGAGTCACCTAAGTCATTCTATAACTTCCAATACATTAATTAGTCTCATACTAAAAAAATCATAAAAGTACAATTAGTTTTAAAATTGCTCAATCTGCCCATTTATTCAGTTTATGACCTCTATCGGGGCCGACCTGTCCAAACTTATTAAAAGCGCTCAAAAGCGCGATTAAGGGACAAAGCGCAGGCGAGCGCATCACCTGCGTCTGGCTTTTGAGAAGCGGTTGGGAGTGAGAAAGCGTCGCTTTACCGTCGCCTTTCCGGAGCTCGCTTTCATCGCTTCTCACAGAAAACGGTCATTTGACCAGTCAACTTTTTTTTAGATTTAGTTTTATCTGCCCATCCCTACAACTTAGGGTTATCTAGGAGAGTCATTCGACACTTTCGACACTCCACACATCCGCAGGCCCGCAGGTGAAGATTGAAGAAGTGGGAGGTGAAGAAGCCGCCGGTGAAGAAAGAGGCGGAGAGTCCGCCTCTTCGCCCACACTTCCCTCCGGATAGAAATCGCCCACTCGCAGGCGAGCCGCAGGTTGTGTTTGTACTCTTTCATCAATAGTTTCTTTCCTTGTTTGATATCTTTCCTTGTATACGAAGTACTCTGTATTTTTTAGTTTGATATCCTTTGGTCTTTCCTTGTTACATAGAACATTCTCTGCTTTCTATCTGTTTGAGACTTGTTTTTTTTTTTAGTTTTTAAGTTTTTTTGTACCTTGTTTGTACCTTGTTTGTAGAGAGTACCAAGGTTTTGTTTCAAAGAAGTGTTTCATGTTTATGGGTTAGTGTATGTTTTGGAACTTGAAGAATCCTTCTACCAAAAAATGGGAAGAACTAAACTTTGTCTTTTTTTTTTTCCTCCTGATTTTTTTCGAGAAGGGTTTAGAATTTCATATACAACTGTGCTTCAGCGCTCTTGGAATTTAATTGCTTTCTCACTCAGCTTGAGTGTTAGCGGGACTTCTAATCTCCCCAGATGTTTTGTATTTTGAAGGGTAATTTTTATTTTAATTATTGAGTATAGTAATGCCAGAAGTTTATTCCTTTCACTTTATTGATTAATTAATTTTTTGTTCATTCCAATTTATGCCCCTTTTAGTTTATTGATTAATTAATTTTTAATTCATTCCAGTTTATTGCTTTTGGTTTATTGATTAAATAATTTTTACTTAATTACTTCATTTCAGTTTATTTCTTTCCTTTCATCTCATAACTAATTTTTAGTTTATTCCACTAAGTAATAAGGTCTCCATTGCTCTTTGTAGAAAAAAATGTCTGGAGAACAATCTAAAAGTCAGGATCCTGCGTGAGAGCATGGGTTAAGGGTGACTTTTATGATTAGTTATGAAGGTTTTGAAACTTTATGCCGCACTAGTATTATTTTGAATGACTTTTATGACTACTAATGCATTTTTGGCATAATTATACATTATATTACATATTTTCTTTTATTTTTTTAAACATCGCTTTTTGTGAGAAAGCTACGCTTCGCTTAGCGCTTTCGCTTTTAAGCAAAGCTCAAGGTCATCGCTTTTGGCCGCTTTTCGCTTTAAAAAAGTTTGGATCTGTCTCAGTCCATCCCTAAAGAGAGGGACAGGAAAGGAAGAAAGAAAAAGTTTGCCCCATGTGAAAACTTAACTATAATCGATTAGTAACTTGCTAAAATCTGATTGAACGTTTTTTCAAAGTTCGATGTTTAACTCGGTGTATTTTTGAATTCGAGAAGCTTAATTGGCATTTTCAATATAGTACCATTACACTCCGATCCACTCGCTCTTTACTAAATGAGCGTTGGAGCGAGCAAGTGAAGCCTTGCGACATATTTGACATTTTTAATTTTCCAATAAACTTTCATATCATCGTTGTTTCCATAGTTACATTTGCAGGCCGTTTGGTATCACTGTTTTTCGGCTTATCAGGCTTACCAGCCAACTTTTTCACCAAACACGTAACTTTTTTTTTGCACGTTGAATTGTGTAACAATAAGAAAAATAAGGTTGGAGTTACTTTTCTGGCTGTATTGGTTGAAGTTACTATAGATGACCATTTTAGCTATTTTACATATAATTTTTTCTTTATTTTATTAATAAAATGTATTTTAAAATTAATTGTTTCTTAAATCACCAGAATCAACGAATGCAGCCAGTTCGACCAGAACTTCATAAACTTCACCAGAATAAGCCGAATCAATTCATTTTCATGATACCAAACGAGCTGTTGATGTCCCGCATGGTCCACTCTAGTTTGGTACAATTTTTGTCTAGTTTGTAATGGTCCGGCATGGTCCAATTCGATTTGATTCCATTCAATATGCTCCAAGGGAGTATGGCTTGGTAAAATCGAGTGTGGTATAGTTTTATACAATTATTGATATTATCTTTAAAATATGTTATTATTACAATAAAACAGTAACTTCAACGGAAAATGAAAATGAAAATGAAAATTAGGATAGTTCAGACCAATCCAAAGTATTCTACTACCGTGTTTCTTCATAATTTCAACATTCACTTTCATTGTATCCCAAAAAGCTTTCCACACCTCTTTTCAGGAAAAAAATATATGAAAAAACAGAGACCAATTATCGAGACCACACATCTATGTAAAGCTTAGACGAAGGTAGATAGCATGATGGAGACAGGTAGGAGCGGGGGGCTCACCTTCCCTCCAAGAAAAAATTATTATACATAATCTGTAAAAAATGTTACACCTTTAAAAAAAGGTGATCAAATAATTTTTTTAAAAAAGTGAATATATGTGATTGATATTGAGTTAATAAAATAAAAATAAAATAAGAATGAGTTAAAATTACATAAACTTTTAAAAAGAAAGTACGGAGTATAAAATTTTCTTTTTCAACAATGCTTGTTGTACCTATCTCTTATATCCACATTATACCTATCTTTTTTCACAGACAAATAAAAAACTTTCATAAACATAGGTGGATATAAAAGTGGATACACGAGTAGGTAGAAACTAGAAACGCCGTTTTTGTTTGAAGATAAATGCGCAATTAAACAACACAGTATATTTCAGAAAATCATTTGACCGTCTTCCCGTTTGAATTTTAACTAAAATATGGTATGAGTAAACTAGACTAAAAAAATTCATCAAAAAATTCCAACAGGAACCTCCCCAAATGACGACGGCTGAACAAAGCCTTCTATAAAAGATGTGATTTTTGCACTTTTCAATTAGTCGGAGGAGGGTTTATTTACACCTTTTTCCTTGTTTTTTACTACTCCAAATCTCCAATACTCTGTCTATTTTTTGCTTCGCTACAAACCTACAAGTAGGAAGTTTTAGGACACGTCGAACAAAGTTTTAAGGTTCCACACGTGGCATGATGATTGGAAGAATTTAAAAGGCGATTGCGGATTCCGTTGATTGAGGCTTATCAAAGTCCCCAGAAGTGGTTAAAAATCATCATTTTCCTTTGACATTGTGTCCACACTAATTCTCTCTTCATCGACTCCAAATTACCCTTTTTGCACAATTTGTGCCATGATTCTTGCATTTACAATCAAACAACAAACAGTTATGCACATACATTCTTAGAACTGCAGAAAATATATCCCGAATACCTGAAAATTAGAAAAGTGGGGATTAGACTTCACAGTTTAGAGCGAATAAAGTTTTGGTCAACCATCGTAGTAACGAGGTGTTAATTCTGATGGTCGTTTACAAAAGATCATACCTACTACTCTACTAGTCTACTACCAGTTTCTAACAAAATTCTAATAGTCTGTTGTTTTACAATTCTGGCTTTTGACTTTTATTTTTTCACTTTTGGTTCTTCCTATGCAAATTTTCTCAGGATAAGTTACTTAGGCTATGTTTGGGATGGGCTATTCAGCTCATTATGGGCTGGAATACATAATTTCAGACGATCATGGAGAAAGTAGTCTTGTTTGGACAACAAGCTACATTGAACTGAAATAGAAAAAAAATGACTGAAACCTAACGCTATCAAACGAAGCGTTTCTGTCCAGCCGATAATAAATGCATTTTTTACTCCTGATTTACCCTTAGCTCTCTTCCCAGGAATTCATACGATAACAGAACTCATGAGTCACGCCTTCATTGCTAAGTAGATGTAAATCCTATAACCACAAATCATGGTCTTGCTGAGTTGATTGTCACCGACTTTCACGATCATTCCGATGGGAAAATAAAACTTTTTCCTTGTTGTGTTGTAGCATTGTAGCAAAACCAATCGTTCATGATGATGCATATCTTGAACTACCTGCGTACCTGTGTATATACTTCGTATTATATACACACATATGTTAATTAATTAAAATATAAAATCATTATAATAATATCTTTTTGAAAGTAATAATATTTAATTCTATTCATTAGGGGTGGGCATTTCGGTTTTCGGTTCGGTTTTCTTCGGTTTCGGTTCGGTTTCGGTTTAATCGGTTTGATAGAAAATGTACCAAATACAAACCGATTAAGTTTCGGTTTGGTTTCGGTTTGGTATGGTTCGGTTCGGTTTGGAGTTCGGTTTACCAAAGTATTGAGGATTGGATTGAAAAAAAAAACTCAAAATAATGAACCAAGAAGCGATAGTATGAACCAAATATATTGTTAGATATAAATTTGCAAACAGTAACAAAACATGTATGAACTAAAAATATATAAGCATGACACATTTGTAAGCAACAACAACAACGTGAATGAATCAAATTATATATAAAGTCAAAACAAAAACAAAATTGGTGCTCGTAAGTAATGAACCAAATATATAGTAGTAGTAGATAATAAATTATACGTAGTAGTTAAATACTATCTACTTAAACCACTATAATTGTTACAGTTGTGAATGTAACTCTTGTAGTAAACTATAGTCCCGGACACTAAAATTAAAGAATTAAATCTTCAAAAAGATTAACATCAATCAAATTAATGAGAGAAATCTTATATTTTGGTTTGGTTTAGTTTGGTGTAAGTAGGTTTTGATTTGTTATTTTAAAAAAATAAGAAATTATTTCATTTTTAGATTAGTTCGGTTTTATTCGGTTTTATTCGGTTTTATGATTTCGGTTCGGTTTGGTTCGGTTTAATACGGTTTGGCAGGAATACTACCAAACTCAAACCAAACTACAAATGGTTCGGATTCGGTTCGGTTTAATTCGGTTTGGTACGGTTCGGTTCGGTCAAACCGAACCATTATGCCCACCCCTACTATTCATAATTATATGTCCTTTAATGTAATTTAATTTGTCCAGTCACTTTTTCATCTTTTTTTGCCAAATGAATTTACTTCATTCAGCTAGCACTTCAGATTCAACACATTAATATTCAGTTTCAGACAATAGTCTATGTTTCAGACAATTGTCTCTAATTCAGACATTAGCTTCGAGCTTCGTCTCGTTGTGCCAAACATAGCCTTAAACTAACCAAAAGTTGCAAAGAATGCGAGAATAATGCACCAAAAGCAATTAAATGAAAGAAAGCTATCAAATAAAAGCTGGAAGCTAAAATGCATTCTCATCCTCAGTCCCTTGCATTCTTTTTTCCCACTTTACCATTTGGTAATGAGTTCCTTGAGACTTTAGGTCCTTTCTGACACGCAACTCACCGTTTGTTTACCTACAATGTAGGTTAATAATCATCTAAAAAGTGACCGGAAGAACCAAAAGTCAAAACATTTGAAATCGCACACAAAAAATTGTGAAACAAAAGTTGAGGGCCAAAAATAATATTCCCTCCGTCTCGGAATTATCTTCATTCTTTCCTTTTCGGTTCGTCCCAAATTTATCTCTATTTTCCCTTTTTGGTAAAGAATATGTGGTTCACAACCATTCTTACACATTTCTCTCTCCTCTGCATAACTCTCCACCACACAAATCCCACTATCTTAAAACCCGTGCCCGGTCAAAACCAGAGTTAAATATGGGACGGAGGGAGTACGTAGTATTCTCTTCGTCCCATTGGACTTTGACAACCTTTCCTTTCTGGTTATCCCAAAAAACCTTGACACTTTCCAATTAAAGCAAATAATTTGTGGTTCTACACATTTATCTCTCCTCTGCATAAATCTCAACCACACAGTTTTTACCTTTCTTATTTCTCACCTACTTTGCACTTGTCAAAATCCACCGGGACGGAGATGGTAAGAATAATAATAATAACCTAAAAGTAGGAAAAAATTCCATTGTACTCAAACAGGTTCCAACCTACGTTACAAGAACCAGACCGGACTAGGAGGTTCGACCCGGAAACCGGCGAACTGGACCCAAATCCAGTCGGAACCCGCTAATGTATCAATAACTGGAATTACCCAATGGACTGCGCAGAACCGGACCGAAACCGGGACGACCCAAACCCTGGAAATTCAATCAACATGGACTTGGAACGCAAAAATGTTGCCGAAGGGAATCGATCCCTTGCTCTCCACGAGAATCGGATGCCACCAAACCATTGTACTTTCCTCTGTATTGTATTAGTTGCAACATTGCAATTTATACACTATTTATATACTCTATTTTGACCACATTTTATTCATTAATGAATGTGAAATATATTTTTCGAAAAAAATTGTTGAATTCATCTCATTATTAAGTTTCATAATATGATTTTTAATTACTTTTTACTAATACATAATTAAATAAAATGACGGTCAAAGTTGCGTGTTGACAAACGTGAAAAATGGAATGTTGCAACTAAAAAAGAACGAAGGGGGTAGTACTTAACTACTTAAGCTACTTGGTATAATATGCGCTTTAGCTATTCTAATATTGTTTCCAAGTATATCGTGACGTAAGAAGGTGTTTATAATTATTACTGCAAATACAAATCACAGTAAGAATAAGAACAAATATTATTTCTGTTATTAAAAGTGATATTTATTGTCTCCAATTTCAAATACATTTTAAAATTTGTATATTTTAGAACACTTTTTCCATCATTTGCAACGGAGCCAAAGACTCGCTGTTTTTTTGTTTAAGAATAGGTAAAATTTCCGAAATAGAAGTAAAAAAGTTTGAAAATTCCAAAATAGGACTGCCATGTTTTTATTCCTAAAATAGGAGTAATTATTGTCATGTTTGGAAAATAATGTCATGTTTAAAGTCAGTCTCTGGCAGTAATTAGTCTTATTTTGGGAATAAAAACATGATAGTCCTATTTTAGAATATACAAACGTTTTTAGCTCTATTTAGGATAATTTTTCTTAGTAATATGATGGAATAAAGCAAAATGACTCACTAGTTTGCGCTTCTTTGTTATGAAGCAGCAATCAGTTCATACAATTTTTGACGTGATTTTCACTATGAGTCATCCGGAAACAGTCTCTGTACTTTAGTACAGGGGGTAAAGTACCGTAGGTGGGGAGCCTTTGCGAGGAGTAATGATGATGATGATGATAATTTAGAACACTTGTTTATTTTCCATGTTTGTCAAGTATTATCATATTTTTATTTTAGTCAATTTTGACTGGGTCTATTGACCGTTGACGGGGTCATTTCTCCCGCTCGCCCTCTGATCCGGTTTTGACAAGATAGGTTACATCACCCACTTTCTACTAAACCAACAATGTTTTCAGGATATGGGAAACCTTTATGGTAGTTCTGGTCATCTACACAGCATGGGCGTCTCCTTTTGAATTCGGTTTCCTTAAAAAACCAGAAGGGCCATTGTCTATTATTGACAATGTTGTCAACGGATTTTATGCAATAGATATAGTCCTTACCTTCTTTGTGGCATACCTGGATAGGACCACATACCTTCTAGTTGATGACAGAAAACAGATTGCTTGGAAGTATGGGAGTACTTGGTTGGCATTTGATGTCGTATCCACAATCCCCTCGGAGCTGGCCATGAAAATCATGCCAAAACCTCTAAGATCATATGGATTATTCAATATACTTCGCCTCTGGCGTCTCCGCAGGGTTGGTGCTTTATTTTCCAGGCAAGTTCTTTGGCTCCTTTTTTGTAGGGTCTGTTTGGTAAGTGTTATTTGTCTGAATCTGCTGAATGAGTTTTATGAAAAGAAGAAGATGAGGAAATATTGTTTGTCATAAAGCAAAGAAAAAGGTTATTAGAGCTTAAAATGACTGAAGTGGCCGAATTTGGTGAGTAGCAAATATAAAGTGAGTAGCAAAAGTAAAGGTATTAAGGTACTTTCAAATGAAAAATATACAGAAAGGGAAAGTGATGAAAGCATTAAAATTTTCTAAAACGCGATGTGATTTGTCCAATCACAACTAATCTTTTTTTTTCTTTACGCAGATTGGAGAAAGATAGGAAAATTAACTATTTCTGGGTTCGTTGTGCAAAGCTTATTTGCGTAAGCGAAATCTGCCTTTTCTCCTTCTCATTATTTCATAATCAAAACATATAAAATGGTTTTTGACACAATATAGTTAATTTTTATCAAATATCTACCCTAGCACTCCAATAAAACAATGTGAACATTATCAAATAACTGAGCACATTATCAGATGTGTACGCAGATGCCCTCTTGGATAACATCATACATGATTTTTACAGGTCACTTTATTTGCTGTACATTGTGCTGGATGCTTCTATTATCTTCTGGCTGCTGATTATCGTGACCCAAAGATGACATGGATAGGGGCATCTATGGAAAACTTCCTTCATAGGAGCCTATGGATTCGCTACATTACTTCAATATATTGGTCAATCACAACCCTCACTTCTGTTGGTTATGGTGACCTACATGCAGTGAATACTCGGGAGATGATTTTTGACATTTTCTACATGCTCTTCAACTTGGGGCTTACTTCTTACTTGATAGGAAACATGACTAATTTGGTGGTCCATGGTAACAGCAAGACCAGGCAATTTGTGAGCAAATCTAATCATATGTTATTAATGATCATTAACTCTTTAAGTTATATTTGGATGGAAGGTTTTGGAGGGACAAGTCTATATCTGGATATAAGTTTGTGATTTTGTATATGGTGGTTTATTGTATCGATGTAGCAGTTTAATTTTTAAGTTCTTACTATAGGAGCTGAAGTTAACTATATCTCTAATTTCCACTAACAGAGAGACACCATTCAAGCCGCATCGAGTTTTGCTCAAAGGAATCATTTGCCAGTTCGTCTTCAAGACCAGATGCTTGCACATTTGTGCTTAAAGTTTAGAACAGATTCAGAGGGGATCCAGCAGCAAGAGACTCTTGATTCCCTTCCCAAAGCCATCAGGTCAAGCATATCACATTTCCTCTTTTATTCCATGGTTGACAAGGCCTACCTTTTCCACGGAGTATCAAGTGATTTACTCTTCCAACTGGTAAGTATATTTTCCTATTATCATTATTATGTGAGTTAATTCAAACACGATTGGCATTTACAATATGTTACACTTTCAAAGGTTTCGGAGATGAAACCGGAGTACTTTCCACCCAAGGAAGACGTAATCCTGCAAAATGAAGCTCCCACAGATTTCTATATTCTAGTGACTGGAGCTGTGGTAATTTTTGTTGTTCTTTTTATTGTATTTAAAATATAAATGTTACAATTGAGCTTTTGAAATCTTATTTGTTTATTTCCTCCTCCACCGTTCCAGATAACTGTCGTATTAGATTATTACTCTATTAGTTGATTTCTTCTTCAAAATAAAGTTTCAGATTAATAATTTGATCAAAGCTTTTTAAAATTTTCCAAAAAAATCATCATTTGAAATTTGAATGTTATTTTAATTACTCTCTTTTAAAAAAAGATAAGAAAGGTAAATATTGGAAAATGAAAAGGGACAAACATATTAAATCAGTGAAGACCGATAAAAAGTAACTAAAGTAGTGTTTTAGGGATTCTAATAAGATTCCTAATTTGTTTCCTAGATTTTGAATCGTCAAGTAGTCAACTGATGTAAAAGTGAGGTAGAGTGTTGTTGAAATCTATCTGAAATATGAATTATTTGGCAGGATCTATTGGTTCTTAAAAATGGAACTGAACAGGTTGTCGGGGAGGCAAAAGCGGGAGATCTATGTGGTGAGATAGGGGTTTTGTGTTATAGGCCTCAGATATTCACAGTACGAACGAAACGTTTGAGCCAACTTCTACGGATGAACCGGACCACGTTTCTGAATATCATTAAGGCTAATGTTGGTGATGGGACCATAATCATGAACAATCTTCTTCAGGTCTCAATGTGCAGCCCTTTTACTTAGGCATTGGTTGGGTTTTCAGCAAACAACCTTCATAACACTAAAGGATTGAAGAATATAATGATATGAACAAGAATTCTGCATCTTTAGATTTAAATTAATGTTTTAAATGTATCTATCAATTACTACCTCCATCTCATTCAAAGGTTCTCGTCCACTATCCTCTGGTCAACATAAAGTCTTCGTAATCTTTTACTTTATATATCCAACTTTTATCAAAGTTGAGTTTTTCTTTTGCAACTTTAAAAAACTTTTAATGTAGTTTCTAAATATGTAAATTTTATTTAATAAAAAAATCTAATTACAGACAGGGATCAGTTAACTTAACTTTATGGTCAGTCAAACATCGTAAACCGCATGGGAACCTTTCTGTGGGACGAAGGGAGTACTACGTCAAATATAAAAAGCTCTCTCCAAAAGATTTGTTGAAACAAGTATTGATAGTAATCTATTTTGTGATTTTGTCCAGAAAAATCCTATTAAAATCGTTATATCCTACTGCATATTATTCTTTTTGAAGTTTTCTGAATATTATTTCCTTGAATTCATTTACAAGAAGTACATAAGCTATTTATACAGATAGAGAGAGTCTATTCAGCACCCTAGGTGACTGTCTAAATACTAAACATAAATGATTGAGAACTGAAAAGACAGCAGCTATAATTACAGTAATAATAAGGAAAATAAATTCTAGATTAATGATGTCTCTTCGTTTTATCAACACTCCCCCTCAAGCTAGGTTTGTAGATATCCGTCATGCCTAGCTTGACAATAAGACCCTGGAACCTAGGACTGTGCAGAGGTTTGGTAAACACATCTGCAACTTGATCTTCTGAGGGAGTGTAGCTTAGTTCGATCAGACCTCCTTCAACCTTTTCTTTGATAAAGTGCCTATCAATCTCAATATGCTTGGTCCGATCATGTTGGACTGGATTATGAGCTATGTTGATTGCTGATTTGTTATCACACCTCAATTCCATTGGTCCTTTCCACTTGATTCGTAAATCTAAGAGAATAATTCTGATCCATAGAAGTTCACATAAGCCATGGGCAAGAGCTCTTAGCTCAGATTCAGCAGATGATCGTGCCACAACATTCTGTTTTTTGCTTCTCCATGTCACGAGGTTTCCTGCTAGGAAAACACAGAGACCAGTAGTTGACCGGCGGTCAACGAGGGAGCCACCATAATCTGCATCAGTGAAGGCTTGGACTGATAATTGCCCACCCTTCCTGAATATTATCCCTTGCCCTGGACTTCCTTTTAGGTAGTGAAGAACCCTATAGGCTGCTTCTAGATGTGGTTTCCTTGGATCATGCATGAACTGACTCAAAACACTAACTGCATAGGCAATGTCAGGTCTAGTATGAGAGAGATAGATAAGTTTGCCACACAAGCGCTGATACATTGATGAATCAACCTTGGGTTCATCAGTAGCAAGTCCAAGCTTATGATTAGGATCCATAGGTGCATTAACCGGTCGACAAGCACTCTTACCAGTCTCATTTAACAAATCTGTAATGTACTTTTGTTGGCTGATAAAGATGCCTTCAGATGAGCGAGCAACTTCAATTCCAAGAAAGTATTTTAGAGGGCCAAGAGACTTCATCTCGAATTTGGATTTCAGCTGCCCCTCAAGACGTTGTTTCTCAACTGGATCATTACCCGTCACAATGATGTCATCCACATATACTAAAAGAATAGTGACTCCATTTGGGCGAGAGTGTTTGTAAAAAAGAGTATGATCCCCTTGGCTTTGACTATACCCAGCAGCAAGAACAACCTGTGTGAAGCGATCAAACCAAGCACGAGGGGATTGCTTGAGACCATAGAGGGCTTTTTTTAAATGACATACATGTGTAGAGGTTCTTGTTGATGTTTTATTAAAGCCTGGAGGAATGTACATGTAGATCTCATCATGCAAGTCACCGTGGAGAAAAGCATTCTTGACATCAAATTGCAATAAAGACCAATCAAAGTGAGATGCCAAGGATAGTAGGATACGGACAGTATTGAGCTTAGCTACAGGAGCAAAGGTCTCTTGATAGTCAATCCCATACGTCTGAGTGTATCCTTTAGCCACAAGATGAGCTTTGTACCGCTCAAGAGATCCATCAGCCTTGTATTTGACAGTAAAGATCCACCTGCAACCAACAACATGCCTCCCAGGAGGTTTAGTCACAATATCCCAAGTATGGTTCTTTTCAAGAGCTCTAATTTCCTCTTGCATAGCATCCCTCCATTCTTTCTTTCCTAATGCCTCAGAAACAGAGTTGGGTATGAGAATTTCATTAAGTCTCTGAACAAACAAGGCATGTGAAGGAGGGAAGTTATCAATGGTAACAAAATTAGCAAGAGGGTATAGAGGTGTTTTGGTACATTGACGTACACCCTTGCGTAAAGCAATTGACGGAGATGGTGGTGGAGAAGAAGAGACATTACCTGGGTCAGCCAATTGGTCATGCGTCAACAATGGAGTGAACCTGTTTTTCCTTGAGTACACTTTTGTCACTGGTAGAGGAGAAGATGGGTCATGAGTGGTGGATTTAGTAGGTGTAGGAATGGGATGGTCTGGTGGTGTATTTGATTGAGGTTCAGGTGATGTTGAAGACCGTTGGGAAGTAGGTGAGGTTGCTGACACATCTAAGGAAGGTGATGGATGATCATGTGGTGGTGGTGGTGGTGATGGGATGTCTGGTGATAAAGTCTTAGGAGGGTAGGAGATTGTATGTGGTGGAGAAGATGTAATAGTATAGGTGGGCAGAGGTGAAGGATGTGGAGTATCTTGGGATACAAGGAGAGAAGTAGGAGTGTAAAAAGGTGTGTCTTCGTGAAAGGTCACATCTGCACTCGTGTATGTCTTTCTGGTTGTAGGATTATAGCACTTATATCCTTTCTGAGTTGGAGAATAACCAAGAAAGATACACTTAATAGATCGTGGGTCCAATTTTCCCCTATGAGGTGGAGGAATATGAACAAATGCAGTACACCCAAACACCCTTAGATCAAGATCAGAAGAAATTCTGGTTTGAGGAAAGAAGTGACGGAGAGATTCAAGGGGTGACTTATTTTGGAGTACCCGACTAGGAATTTTATTGATGAGATGACATGCTGTGAGTGTGGCTTCCCCCCAATAGTGTTTAGGCATATTTGATTGAAACAATAAAGCCCGACTGACGTCTAGGAGATGGCAATTTTTTCTTTCTGCTGTGCCATTCTGTTGTGGTGTGTATGGACAAGAGGACTCATGAACAATGCCTTTTGAGAGGAAATAAAAGGAAACAGTTTGATTGAAGTATTCAAGAGCATTATCAGTGCGGAAGCGTTTTATTGTGGCGGAGAACTGATTATGAATCATATTGCAAAAGATAGGAATGATGGAACTCACCTCACTCTTGTTTTTTAGCAGAAAACCCACATAAAACGTGTACAATCATCAATAAATGTAACATACCACCGGGCACCAGATATATTAGCAATTGGAGCAGGACCCCAGACATCACTATGTATAATATCAAAAGGAGAACAATTGATTGTATTACTTCTAGAAAAAGATACACGGGACTGTTTAGCAAGTTCACAGACATCACATTGAAATGTAGAAACATCAATACTACTAAAAAGACTAGGAAGCATGGTTTTTAGGACATGAAAAGAGGGATGACCAAGGCGCTTGTGGTGAAGCCAAATAGTGTTGGTATTGGCTGTGATTGTGGTAAGAGCTTTTTGTGGAGGTTTGGAGACAAACAGTGCATCAAGGTAGTACAGGCCATCTCTTTGTTTAGCAATTCCAATCGTCCTCCCCGTGTGTAGATCCTGTAATAAACAGTGGGAAGGCAAAAAAATGGCAGCACAATTAAGATCAATTGTGAGTTTGTAAATAGAAGCAAGGTTCATAGCCAGGTTTGGGACATGTAGGGTGTTTTTCAGATTTAATTTTTCAGAAAAAACAACCGTACCAAGTCCCGCAACCTTTGTAGGTGTCCCATCAGCAGTAGTAATGTGTGTGGATGTAAAACATGGATGATAATTAGAGAGTAAAGAGGGTATGGCAGTCATATGAGATGTGGCACCTGAGTCTAATATCCATTGGGATTGTGAACTCTGTTCTGAAGCATTAAGACAAAAAATAGTAGAGGTTTTACCTTGCAGGGCCAAAGAGCTATGACCAGAACCATTTGAGTTATTAAGAGACTGTAACATCATACGAAGTTGCTTTAATTCCTCCTGGGAAATGGGCCAAAGATTAGTAGAGCTCTCGACAATAGTGGGAGTGACTGAGTTGGCACGTCCAACACTATTTCCACGCCTGTCCTGGCTTTTTCTTTCTTTCTGTAGATGAGGATAAAGTTTCCAGCATGTATCCACATTATGGTTGGACCGCTTGCAATGATCACACCATCTTCCTCCCTTACTACCCTTAGTTTCCTTAACATCTGAAGGAGTAGATTTGGCAGCAAGAGCTGTACTGTCAATCAGATTTGTATTCATCATTATATTGCGTCTGCTCTCTTCATGTTTGATAGTGGCAATGGCAGAAGATATGGAAGGCAGAGGAGTAATGCCAAGAATTTGACCCCGAGTCTGATCATATTGGGGATTTAAACCAGACAAGAAGCAATATAGACGTTGCTGATTTATATAGTTCTTGTGAAGAGCTGCATCTGCAGCATTCGACCACTGCATCGTTTGATACTGGTCAAGTTCAGACCATCGTCGTTGGAGGTCAGTTGCATAATCTGTGACAGATTGTGAATCTTGCTTAAGATTCGTTGTTTTGAGCCATAAGTCATAGACAAAAGCGCCATCTTTAGCAACAGAGTAGGACTGTTGTATGAAATCCCAGATTTCTTTAGCCGAGTCCATGTATAAACATGTACTGCTAATGTTGGGATCCATAGAGTCCCATAACCAGACCCGTATGTTGGCATTAGTTTTCTCCCAAATAGCAGCATCAATCTCTCCTTCTTCTGGTGTAGAGATAGTGAGATAGTCTTCAAGATCTTTGCCACGTAGGAGAGTGTAAACCAGCTTTGACCACCCAAGATAGTTCCTGCCATTGAGACGGTAAGATGGCGGGATAGAAGGGAGATCAAATTTCTGGTTTCGAAGAGCAAACGCGGCTGCAGTAGCAGCTGAAACAATGGTTGAGTGATCAAGGTTACTTGAGGCTGATTCGGCTTCTTTAGACATGATAAAACCCTTGATGAAGAGACTCCACCGGGAGTTAAAGAGAGAGAAGGGTAGAGACACCCAAAAAATGACCGTTGGAGAGGTGATAGACTCAAAAAAGGCTTAGACGAAACCAAGCTTTGATACCATGAAGTTTTCTGAATATTATTTCCTTGAATTCATTTACAAGAAGTACATAAGCTATTTATACAGATAGAGAGAGTCTATTCAGCACCCTAGGTGACTGTCTAAATACTAAACATAAATGATTGAGAACTGAAAAGACAACAGCTATAATTACAGTAATAATAAGGAAAATAAATCATAGATTAATGATGTCTCTTCGTTTTATCAACACTTTTCAGTAATGATCACAGTGAATTTGACAATCCAATGAGTTAATTTTTAGTTATAAAAATTTTCGAGGATCAGTTGGTAATTTGACCAAACACTAGGAGACGCTGTTGTAATTAACCTGAAAGCAACAGGAATCTTTAATGTTAGCAGTTTCTTTTTTCTGATTGAACAGCACCTGAAGGAGATGAAGGATGATCCAATAATGGAAGGAGTCCTGTTAGAGACAGAAAATATGTTAGCAAGGGGGAGAATGGAGTTACCTTTGACCCTTGGCTTCGCAACACAAAGGGGAGACGATTTGCTGTTGAATCACTTGTTGAAGAGGGGTTTAGACCCAAACGAATCAGATAACAATGGGAGAACCGCCCTTGTGCGTTTACTAACTCTCAGCACTCTGGAGCCCCTGCTTCTTTTCTTCATACAATCCCGTTTTATTTTGCATTTCATCCTTTCTTATTATATGATGTTCTTTCTCCCTTTTGCATTAATATCAGCATATAGCAGCATCCAAAGGATATGAAAAGTGTGCCATTCATCTTCTGGACTTTGGAGCCAATCCCAACCTTATAGGTGCTTCAATTCACTTCCTTTTGATACACTATGTTACTCCTCGTGTTCCTTCGAGTGACACAATTCACAAATTCTTTATGAACCACATAATTCCTTTTCTGTTGTGTGCAACTTAAGCTTGTCCCATGTAGAATGGGACAGAAGGAGTAATACCTATTTAGAATATGTGTGTATGATCAATAAAACATTGTGTGTCTGTGCATATTACTTTGTATTGTATTTCATTAAATAATGGCCATTAAATAACACAGAACAAAAAAAGTAGACAAAACATGTGACTTTTAATATGCACTTAACATAATAGTAAGTTAGTAACCGTAGCAACCGTGATTATATTCAGTTTAACATTGCAGTGACCTAAAATTCATAGCAACTATAATCACGTTTTTGTTCATAAGTTCAATTTTAGTACTCCATCCGTTCCATTATAAGGTTCACACTTTCCTTTTTTGGAATTCCCATATAAAGGTTCTCATTTCCATTTTAGGAAACAATTAACAATCTTAAGTGACAAATTAATTATTAAATATTAAAAATAATACATTTATAACATCACAGTTATCAATACTAACTACATTATGATATATACCTATTAAAATTGTTTCTCAAAATATACTCAAAGTACTTTATTTAATTATTGTCTAAACAACCGTGTCGTTTTGCTATGGGAACCTTATAACGGGACGGAGGTTGTAATATATAAGGAAAACCCGCTTATGTCATATGGAGTGTGTTTTAGTAAATAAGTATGTGTGCCTATATGTGTATGTATTCAGTATTTAAACATATGCAGGTATATGTGGAGTAGCCCCCTTATGTTATTATGGAGTATGTTTTAGTAAATAAGTAAGTGTGCCAAAACCCATCCAATTAGGGGTTGGGCGAGTTGGGTACCAGAACAACCAGTTATATTTCCATCCTAATTATTTTATCCTGTGTTTTGAACCTTTCCTCTCTTTTAATGCATCCAGATTCTGAAGGGAGTACACCCTTATGGGAAGCCATCTTGGGAAAACATGAACCGATCATCAAGCTACTGTTGGACAAAGATGCAAACATATCTGCTGGGGACGTTGGTCAGTTCGCATGCATTGCTGCCGAGCAGAACAACCTCGACCTCCTCAAAGAAATCACCCGTTGTGGTGGGGATGTAACCCTGCCAAGAACCAATGGCCCCTCGAAGACAGCTCTCCACTACGCCGTTTGTGAAGGCAATGTCGAGATGGTCAAATACCTGTTGGACCATGGGGCTGCCATCCAAAAGCCAGACGAGTACGGGTGGACCCCAAGGGATCTGGCTGAGCAACAAGGGCACGAAGACATTACTGTGCTCTTTGAATCCCGAAATGATCAATCCATCACCGCCACGGTGCCTGAAGACCCGCCTGGTAGGGTCAGCTTTCTCGGGAGGTTCAAAAGTGAGCCCAAAATGTCTCCCACGACACAAACCGAGGGACCGTTTGGGGGGCAGTCTCGCCCCAGGCGTAGGACAAACAGCTTCCACAACTCGCTGTTTGGTATAATGTCGGCTGCCCAAAGCATTGACCAACCAATCCTCTTACCAGTTGCAGAAACCACCACAGAAAATCCCTACCGCAAGAGGGTAACAGTTAGTTGGCCTGAGAAAGGAGACATTGCAGGAAAGGTTGTGTTACTACCTAAGAGCTTCAAAGAGCTACTAGAGATCGGGGTTAAGAAGTATGGATTCTTGCCTTCCAAGATTCTGAGCAAATCAGGGGCAGAAATAGATGATATTGGATTGATCAGAGATAATGATCATATTGTTTTTGCAAATGATAATAGAAATCCAGATGTAAAATGACTAAACTCTGGCATGTGTTGATCTGCCAATGAAGATAGAAGATTGCCCTTCAAGCAGTGGAAGCCTAATACACCTTTAACATTATCCAAATAGTTTTATGCGGGTTAGACAAAAGAGGAGTGCACTAGACAGTACCTGTAAAGATTCCAGTGAGGATCATACCTAGCACTGAAAATAATTCCAAAATGAACTTATGACAGTATGCTAAAAAGAAAAGAAGTTCAGTTATACGAGTATGGCCCCCAGTCCATACAACGCAAAATCAAAAACATACTTTTAACCTCACAGGAATAATTTTTGTAAAAAACTCCAAACTAATCACAAAATTTAACCACATTCATAAACAACAATTAGTTTTGGTCATTGATAAAACGCAGATGTATTCAAGTCAATTAAGAGCAAGATAATTTACCCTTCTGCAGCAAGCGGAAGACCCAGATTCCGAATCCAGTACCATCGTTATCCCTTCTGAGGTCGCCAAGTGGATACAAAACAGCATATTAGTTGGAGCCTTTGGAATGAAAAAATTCCACTTTTGGTCCCAGGTCGCCAAGTGGATACAAAACAGCATATTAGTTGGAGCCTTTGGAATGAAAAAATGTGGAAGTGACTATTATACCACTTCCACATTTAGTCTCTTACTTTCAGATTGTCTACATTTACTCCGTGACCATTATCCCCTCACCACCCCTCGTCCTTCCGGCCAAAATTCTGGCAAATTTAATGCAGATTTTAGGTATGAAAAACCAAATTTAATGCAAAGACTAATATGAAAAACCCAACCTTATATAAAATTTAATGCAAAGACTGATTCTGAGGCTGATAAGTGGACTAAATTTGCCAGAATTTTGGCCAGAAGGACGAGTGGTGGTGAGAGGATAATGGTCACGGACTAAATGTGAATAATCTGAAAGTAATGAACTAAATGTGGAAGTGGTATAATAGTCATAGGACCAAAAGTGGAATTTTTTCCTTTGGAATTGATTTTGTTTTCTTTTAACGGCAATATCATTTGCATAAGCAGAGAACATAATTATAGTTTGGAATATAAAAAAGGGAAAAATAATTAAAATATCTCAAATTTTAAAAGGGTGTTAGATAACACCTCAAACTTGCATACGTAATTTAAATATCTCAAACTTTATATAAAAAGTTATTTTAACATCATAATCAAGTATTATTTTTTTCAAAAATGTAAATTTATGATATTAATTGCATAATATAAAATGTTTTAGAATTCATGAAGACGCAATTAACAATCTAAACTTCTATTGTGAACTAAATAATGGTACTTCCAATCTGTATATTTCCAACATTAATTTGTTATTTTAAATTATGCAATTAACCCCATAAGTATACATTCTTGAAAGAAATAATACATGACCATAGTACGAAAATAACTTTTTATATAAAGTTTGGGATATTTAAATTACATATGCAAGTTTGGCTATTGACCTCATGCCCATCCAAAATTTGGAGTATTTTTATTATTTTTTCCTATAAAAAAATCTTCGAAAGTATGGATGCAGTAGACTCGAAAAACAATCCCAAAAAACCCATAATTTTATTGTACCAAACTAATGTATTGTGAATTAAAAATAATCAAAGATTAGCGTAAGTTGCATAAAAAGAACCACTACCTACTGCTGGGAATCCTGGGATCTCTTGATTCTTCTGTCATCTAGGTAGTGGGAATCCCGGGTCTTGACCGGTTCCGGGCCGGGCCGGTTCCGGTTCATTTTTTTTAATTCTTATTTATTTCACCCCCACCCCCCACCCCCAACCCCCCAACCCCCTCGAAAATACCCAGCCCAGCCCAACTAACCCCAGCCCAAACCAAAAAAATAAAAAAAAAATAAAAAAAGGCCCGAACCGGACCTGGGCCGGCCGAGCCGGTTCCCCTTTTCCCTTACCCGTGCCCGGAACCGGTAGACCCCCCGGGCCTAGGCCCGAACCGGAACCGGAACCGGAACCGGTTTCCCAGGCCAGGCCGGTCCCGCACAGTAGCGGGCCGGGCCGGTTCCCGGGTCGGGTGGCCCGCACCGAGTCCAAATACTTGAATCACCTTAAACCTAAACAAACCATGTCATTTCAATTAATGCCCCATCTACAATCAATTAATGCCCCATCTAAGAGCACGTTTAGTGAACTTGTTTTTCACGGTTATCAATCTTAGCAATCAACTTTTTCATTAAATATGATTTTTTTATTTTGCTTTGTGTAGTAATCAAAATTAGTACGAATGGAGTTACTTCTTGATTATATTGACTAAAGATATTGTAGAAAGCTATTTAAACTATTCATTAAATAATTTTTTCTTCATTTTATTTATAATATATATAAATATAAATAAAATAATCAGTCAATCCAATCATTTCATCCAAAGCTTCATAAATTTCAACAGAATAGCCAATTTCAGTTACTAAACGGGCTGTAAATTTCTTATTCAAAGTTACATTTAAATGCAAACTCAGTCATAATGGTTACTCACTCTTTCGAAAGAACCGGTTTTATTTCAAAAGTCATTCTTAGTTTTATTTTCCTCTTTTTATGGAATGGAGTTGACAGTTTGGAGTTTGGACCATAGTTTGACGAATGGCAAGAAACCCCATTATTTTAAGCAATCCTCAGTAGTTCAACCTCAATTGGATCATCTTCTATCTGCTTTAAAATATGATTGCCCAATAAAGAACAAGATGTTATCAATTTAATAGAGAAATTGCCCCACAAATTTCCTTATTAATTTTGCCTCTAGCAGTCCCTGTTTTCTTTCCCTAGATGTGTGCAGCCAGAAACAATACAGCCTACGGTTATATAACAATGAAATAAACTCACATTGCAAGAGAGGTCATCGGAAATTTTACGAGGACTGCTCAACTGAGCTGGTGTTGGCTCAGCCATCCAACCCAAATTTCAAAAACGAAATCTAAACACGCCACGGCCCACGCATTATGAGACGATGATTCAAAATCCTATTAATGTACCCAGGTGATTAGGCCCATGTATAACATATTTTCATATATGCTCTCATACACATCTTTAAGAACAATGAACTAATGAAGGGAGTAATATGTCATGGAATAAAGCTTAAAACAGTTTAGTTTTCTATGTTGCGCTAGTGCACAATTTCAAGCTACTATCTCAATCACATTTCCTTTTATGTTGCCTAGTTATACAATTTCCAGCTACAAACGCTATGGAACAGGATTAAATAAAAGAGCACGTCACAAACACTTGGCTTCTCTGATTATGAAATCAAGAATGATCTTCAACCTCAACTGAACTGCATCCAGGCAATTTCTTAACGTGTAAAGCTTTCATATTCTTTCTGACTTTGGACACATCTTCCCATCTATCGGCAGAAGCATACATGTTAGCCAGCAGTGTATGAGTGCTGGAATCACCCGATTCAATCCCCACGAGAATTTCAACAATCCGTTCGCCCATATCAACATCGCCATGGATTCTGCAAGCACTAAGCAAGGAACTATAAAGGGTAACAACAATTTTCTTATCCTTGTTATTCTTTTGAATAAATTTTTTTATAATTTCCTCAGCTTCATTTAATAGCCCTGCACGTGCAAGAAGGTCTATCAAACATCCGTAGTGTTCCAACTTTGGTTCTAAACCATATTTCCTTATCATTGAATCAAAATATTGCCGGCCTTCCTTTACTAACCCTCCATGACTACAAGCTGCTAAGACACCAATGAAGGTAACACTATCTGGGATGATTCCAGATTGTTCCATTTGTAAAAACAATTCCAAAGCTTTCTTTGCATGTCCGTTCATAGCAAGGGCACAGATGATCGAAGTCCATGATGTGGCATCTTTTTCTCCTATTAACAGTTCTTGAAAGATTTCTAATGACTTGTTGAGGGAGCCACATTTCGCGTACATCTCCATAAGGGCAGTGCCGACAACCGCATCAATGGTTATTCCGTTATGTGTCATGTAGTTATAGATCTGCCCCCCTTGGTCCAGTGCTCCTGCTTGAGCACAACCTTTGAGTAGCGAAACCAGAGTGTACTTATCAGGCTTCATGTTTTTCTTTTGCATTGCCTGGAAAACAGACATTGCCTCTTCAAAAAGGTTAGATTGGACATACCCGTTAATCATAGCCGTCCATAAAACAACATCCTTTATTGGACTCTTTTCAAATAGGAATCTGGATTCTTCCAACAGACCAAAACTGGCATATCCTGAAACCATGCTGGTCCAGGACATAACGTTTCTCGTAGGCATATCATCGAACACTTTCCTAGCCACAGTCAAACGGCCACACTTACAATACATGTCCACTAAAGAATTATCGATCTTAATGGTATGTCCGAGCTCTTTACTAACGTACTGATGGATTTCTTCACCAAGATCCAGTTTTTTCAGTGCAGTACAAGCTGATAGGGTACTAACAACAGTGGCCTCTTCGGGTGTAATGCTCCCCTCTCGTAACATCATCCTATAAATTCTGACAGCTTCTTGAAACCTGCTGCATCTAACGTATCCAGCTATTAGAACATTCCACGACACTGAATCTCTACTCGGCATTTCATCGAACAATTTCTTAACACACTCCATACAACCCAACTCACCATACATGTCCATGAGTGAATTACACACATAGCAATCAATTCCAATCCCGCTCTTCAAAACAAACCCATGAACCCTTTCACCGTCAAGAACATCCCTCATTCCACAAATGGACTTAAAGACAAAGGGGTAAGTGAAATTATCAGGAGACATCCTAAGCCATCTAAGCTCGTCGAATAAATATAGGGCATTTCGGAAATGACCCGATTTTGTATGAGCTTTGATCATCACGTTGTAGATGAATAGGGTTGGCTGTTCAATGCGATCAAATATCCTTTGGGCATGGCGAAGATTTCCACGGAGAGGGTCAGCTGAGAAGGCCATTAGTTTGTGGAGGGTGTCTACGTGTTGATGGATGCCGAGGGCGAAAAGTAAAGCCTGGATTTGCTCCAGCTGGGCCATGGATTTGCAGGATTTCAGGAGATCTATGCATATCTTCTTGGTGATGGCCGTCGTGTGAGGAGCGCTGCTTGTAAAATTGTTGAAAGTATTTAAATATGTGCCAAAAGTTAAAATGTTGCAAGTATTTAAATATGAAGGGAATATTATACCCTTGATTATATATTAGAAAACACACATATATCCATGAACTATTCATGAGGGAAAATATATACCCTCAATGTACACTTGTTAAATCTTTATAATATTTGTGTTTAATTATTCTCAAAGAAAGTTGAAGGGTATATATGATTCTCTCGCATTTAGTTAAAATTATGTATGTGTTCCTGCTCCCTATAGTTTTGCATAAAAGTGTGGAAAAGTTCCTGCAAGGTTTTGGAAAATTTTCAAAAGCGCAATGTAATTGTCTATTCACAAGCAATCTGTTTTTTTTTCTCTACACAGATTGGAGAAAGATAGGAAAATCAATTATTTCTGGGTTCATTAGGCAAAGCTTATTTGCATAGGCTAAATCTGCCTTTTCCCATTCTCATCATTTTGTACAAAATACATAAATAAAACATATAAAAATGATTTTGGAAGCATTAAAGTTAAATTTGTATCAAATAGCTGCCATAGCACTCCTTGACTCCAATAAAACAATGTAGCAGGAACACATGTAAACATTATCAGATAACTGAGAACATTATCAGATAATTACACAGACACCCTCTTGGATTACATGTTACAAGATTTTTACAGGTCACTTTATTGGCTGTACATTGTGCTGGATGCTTCTATTATCTCCTGGCTGCTGATTATCGTGACCCAAAGATGACATGGATAGGGGCATCTATGGAAAACTTCCTTCATAAGAGCCTATAGATTCGCTACATTACTTCAATATATTGGTCAATCACAACCCTCACTTCTGTCGGTTATGGTGACCTACATGCAGTGAATACTCAGGAGATGATTTTTTATATTTTCTACATGCTCTTCAACTTGGGGCTTACTTCTTAATTGATAGGAAGCATGACTAATTTGGTGGGCCATGGTACCAGCAAGACCAAGCAATTTGTGAGCAAATATAATCATGACTTATTAATGATCATTAACTCTTATAGTTATATTTAGATGGCAAGTTTTGGAGGGACAAGTATATATCTGGATATAAGTTTGTGATTTTGTATATGGTGGTTTATTGCATATATATAGCAGTTTAACTTTTTACATTCCTACTATAGTTTATAGGGGCTGAAGTTACTACATACTTCCTCCATTCTTAAATAAATGCAACGGTCAACATTTCACACTTGCCGAGACACAACTTTGACCATTAATATAAATGATTTTGTATTAGTAAAAAAATTAAAAAAATTAGATTATGAAAATTTACAATGAGACAAGTTTAACAATATTTTTTTCATAAAATAATATTATTACATTAATAAATAAAACGTAGTTAAAGTAGAACATGTGAATAGTGTAAAAGTCAAAGTATTGCATTTATTTAAGAACGGAGGTAGTATCTAATTTCCACTAACAGAGATACACCATTCAAGCCGCGTCAAGACCACATGCTTGCACATTCGTGCTTAAGTTTAGAGGGGATCCAGATCCAGCAGCAAGAGACTTTCAACTCCGTTCCAAAAGCCATCAGGTCAAGCATATCACATTTCCTCTTTGATTCCATGGTTGACAAGGCCTGCCTTTTCCACAGAGTATTAAATCATTTTCTCCGACAACTGGTAAGTATATTTTCTAATTATCATTATTATGTGAGTTAGATCAAACTTGATTGACGCTTACAATTGATAGACAAGGAGTAAGGCATGCAGTCTAGTTTTACAAGAAAGTATATAAAAGGAGGAAGAATAGGGCAGTTAATAATAATGATTAACTAGCTAGTCTGTTAGTTAGTTAGTAAGGTCCCTGCGTGGACTGTTACTATAAATAGAAGTTGAATAAGCTAGCTAGAGGTATCTGTCATTTTGGCTAGAACTGGGCTAGGGGATTGGGCATCTCGAATTGTCTAGAGCTTGTATACCTTTGTTGAGTTGAATAAAGTGTGATCTGTGTGTTCTTCGATTGTGTGTGTGAGTTCTGAATCAATAATATCAGTGTTCTATCATTGGTATCAGAGCATTACGCTCTTGGTGATTACGGAATTGATCGGAGTAGTCGGAAATCCAGAAAATTGTTCGTCGTTCGAAGGTGGATGGTTAGAACGAGAGGCAAAATGGATCATTGTATGGAGACGTTGGAGCGAAACCAGCACGAGATGCATTCAGCGCTGGATGCCCTCACAGCTAAAATAGATGCCATGGCGGAACAGTTTCAGAGCAGAGGACGATCGCGAACACCTCCACAACATCACATGAGGACTTCGCGCAGTCCGATAGCTTCCGGAGGTAACTCTGTTCATTCTCAAATTCATAATGCTAGACGAAGTGAGGAAAATAGTAGAGTTCCTGGTCGAAAGGTAGACTTACCTTTATTCAATGGTGAGGGAGCCTACAATTGGATTGTACGCATGGAGAGGTACTTCCGCTTAAATCATATTGAAGAAGGAGAAAAAGTGGAAGCCTCCATGGTTGCGATGGAGGATAGGGCTCTGAATTGGTTCCATGTGTGGGAAAATCAAACTGAACAAACAACCTGGGAAGCTTTGAAGAAATCGGTTATTCGTAGGTTTCAACCAGAGTTAATTCAAATTCCGTATGGACCACTGTTAAGTTTGAAGCAAACTGGAACTGTGAAGGATTACAGAGAGGGATTTGAAATGGTGATGACTTCGCATCTGACTCTGGACAGGGAATTATTGCGAGGAGTTTTCATGAAATCAAATTGGAGTTGAAATTGTTTGCATCCAGGTCTTTGACAGAGATTATGGATAAGGCTATGCTTATTGAACAGAAGAATGAAGCACTCTATTTGAAAAGGAAGGAGGAAGACAAGTTGATTGGGAAAGACAAGGGTGCTGCACCAGTTAAACCTCAGACTTGGGGAAATAGTTTTAAGGCAAAATCTGGTAATCCTTGGTCATTTCAGAATAAGTTGTTTACAGAACACAGGAACAACAACTCTGGGAGTGATAAGGGAGGAAACAAGTTTCCTACAGCTCAACCTTCTGGAATTAGAAGGGTAGGACCTCAGTTGTCTCAAGATGAGTTCCAGGAAAGGAGTAGAAAAGGATTATGCTTCAAATGTGGGGACAAGTGGAGTAAGGAGCATACTTGTAAGCTAAAGAACTACAAGTTGATGCTTATTGAAGATTCAGATGGGGAAGAGGTACCAGATGAGGGCAGTCCCATGGTTACAGAACCTGAGGAGGCAGTTGAAATGGAATCTAAATCAATGCAGTTGTCTCTCATGAGCAGGGAGGGGATACCTACCATGAGAGCTAAAAGGATAAATCAAAAGCTCAGCCCCAGATATTATGGCCCTTTTGAGATAATTGACAAACTGAGTTCAGTAGCTTTTAAGCTCAAACTACCAGATGACAGTAAAATCCATCCAGTTTTCCATATATCATTGCTCAAAAAGGCAATATCTCCTCCTACTTTTTACCAACCTCTACCCAATTGCCTCAGTGAGGAATTGGAACTACAGGTAGTGCCAGAAGATATTTTGGATACAAGGGTTGACAAGGAGGGGAATGTGGAAGTGTTGGTGCATTGGAGCAATCTGCCAAGCTTTGAAGACTCTTGGGAACCTTTGTTAGCACTCAAGGAACAATTTCCAGAGCTTCACCTTGAGGACAAGGTGAATTTCCAGGGAGGGAGTATTGATAGACAAGGAGTAAAGCATGCGGTCCAGTTTTACAAGAAAGTATATAAAAGGAGGAAGAATAGGACAGTTAATAATAATGATTAACTAACTAGTATGTTAGTTAGTTAGTTAGTAAGGTCCCTGCGTGGACTGTTACTATAAATAGAAGTTGAATAAGCTAGCTAGAGGTATCTGTCATTTTGGCTAGAACTGGGCTAGGAGATTGGGCATCTCGAATTGTTTACAGCTTGTATATCTTTGTTGAGTTGAATAAAGTGTGATCTGTGTGTTCTTCGATTGTGTGTGTGAGTTCTGAATCAATAATATCAGTGTTCTATCAACAATATGTTACACTTTTAAAGGTTTCGGAGATGAAACCAGAATACTTTACACAATTACACCCAAGGAAGATCTAATCCAGCAAAATTAAGCACCCACAGATTTCTATATTCGAGTGACTGGAGCTGTGGTAATTTTTATTGTTCTATTTATTCTATTTAAAATATAAAAGTTAGAATTGAGATTTTAAAATGTTTTTTTGTTTATTTCCTCCACCACCGTTCTAGATAACTATCATATCAGATTATTAGTTGATTTCTAATTCAAAATAAAGTATCAGATTGATAATTTGATCAGAGCTTTTTTAAACTTTCCAAAAAAGTCATCATTTGATTTTTATTTTAATTAATTATTCTCTTTATAAGAAGATAAGAAAGGTAAATATTTGAAAAAAGAAACTAAAGAAGTAATGTTTATGGGTAACTAATAAGATTCTTAATTTGTGTCCTAGATATTTAATGGCCAAGTGGCCTGACTAATGTAAAAAGTGAGGTAGAATGTTGTTGAATACATATGAAATATGAATCATTTGGCAGGATCTACTGGTTCTTAAAAATTGAACTGAACAGGTTGCCAGGGAGGCAAAAGCGGGAGATCTATGTGGTGAGATAGGGGTTCTGTGTTATAGGCCTCAGATACTCACAGTCAGGACAAAACGTTTGTGCCAACTTCTATGGAAACCGAACCACGTTACTGAATATCATTAAGGCTAACGTTGGTGATGGGACCATAATCATGAACTATCTTCGTCAGGTCTCAATGTGCAGTCCTTTTACTTAAGCACCAGTTGGGTTTTCGGGCAAACTACCATTTTAACACCTGAAGGTTTAAGAATATAATGATATGAACAAGAATTTGGCATCTTTATATTTAATTTAATGTTATCAATGCATTTATCAATTAAATATAAAAGGCTTTCTCTCCAAAACATTTGTCAAATAAATATTGATAGTGGTCTACTTTGTCCGAATAAAATCCTTTTAAAATCATTATATCCTACTGGCCACTGGGTATTATTCTTTTCAGTAATGTTCACAGAAAATCTGACCGAACGCAAAGGGGAGACGTTTTGTTGTTGAATCACTTGTTGAAGAAGGGTTTAGACCCAAGTGAATCAGATAACAATGGGAGAACTGCTCTTGTGCATTAACTAACTCTCAACAATCTGGAATCCCTGCTTATATTCTTCATACAATCCCCTTTTATTTTCATTTCATTTTTTCTTATTTTGTGGTGTTCTTTGTCCCTTTTGCATTAATATCAGGCTATTATCAGCATATAGCAGCACCCAAAGGATATGAAAACTGTGCTGTTCATCTTCTGGACTTTATTTGAAGCCAATCCCAACGTTAAAGACTTAAAGGTGCTTCAATTCACTTCCTTTTGATACACTATGTTATTCCTCAGGTTCCTCTAAGTGATGTAATTCACAAATTCTTTCTGAACCACATAATTCCATTTCGGTCACGTGCAACTTAAGCTTGTCCCATATAGAATGGGACAACGGGAGTACTACCTATTTAGAATCTGTTTGTATGATCGATAAAACATTGTGTGTATGTGGATAGTACTTTGTACTGTATTTTATGAAATAATGAAAACTAAATAACAAAGAACAAAAAAAAGAGACAAAACATGTGACTTTGATCATGTTTTTGTTCATGAGTTTAACATTATATTCAGTTTAACATTGCAGTGACCATAATATTCATAGTAACTATAATCATGTTTTTGTTCATGAGTTCTATTTTAGTACTACGTAATATTTTAAGAAAATCCGCTTATTTTATTATGGAGTATGATTTAGTAAATAAGTATGTGTGTCTGTATGTGTATGTATCAGTATTTAAATATATGTAGGTATATGTTGGGCATTAGGGTTGTTAACGAACCGGGCTTTTATCGAACTATTCAAGTTCGATCTCGGTTTCAAACCAACGAGTCGAGCTTAACGAGCTTTCAGACTCAAACCCGAGCTGAGTTTTAAGTTTGAAAAATTAATCGAGCCGAGCTCGAACATAGTAGTATTCGGCTCGGTTCGAGCTCGAGCTGATCGAACACACTGAAATTATAAATATAATTTATATATATGTCAAAATTTAAAAATAATTAATATGATTTTAATATTTTATGAATTTAAATATGATTATGAATGAACCGAATACTTGTCGAATAATTCGAGCACGAGCCTATTAACGAGCACCACCTAAAATTTTAAATTTGAGCATATTTATCGAGCGCTCGGTTCGAACATCGAACGCCTATCGAGCAGAACACGAGCCTCATTTGTAAAGCTCACCAAGATTCGAGCTCGAACCCGAACACCCATATTACCGAATCGAGCCGAACTCAAGTTCTGGGTATTCAGGCTCGGCTCGGGTCGTTAACAGCCCTATTGGGTATTACACTAATTAATATGTGAGTGTGGTACGAGTTTTTCACTTCCACCGCAGACCCACCTCTAACTTGACCACCCTGCCTAAACACATCATTAGGGCTTGAGTGGGTCGGGAACCCAGAACAACCAGTTCTGTTTCCATCGCTAATTAATTTATCCTGTGTTTTGAGCCTTTTTTGTCTTCTCTTAATGCATCCAGATTCCAAAGGGAGTATATCCTTATGGGGAGCCATCTTGGGAAAACATGAACGGATCATCAAGCTACTGTCAGACAACATTGCAAACATATCTGCTGCGGACGTTGGCCAATTCACATGCATTGCTGCCGAGCAGAACAACCTTGATCTCCTCAAAGAAATTACCCATTGTGGTGGGGATGTAACCCTGTCCAGAACCAAAGGCCCCTAGAAGACAGCTCTTCACAGCGCCGTTTGTGAGTGCAATGTCGAGATGGTCAAATAATTGTTGGACCATGGGGCTGACATGCAAAAGCAAGACAAGTACAAGTGGACCCCAAGGGATCTGCCTGAGTAACAAGGGAACGAAGACATCACTGCAATCTTTGAATCCTGAAATGATCAATCCATCACCGCCACAGTGCCTGAAGACCGGCCTGGTAGGGTCAGATTTCTAGGGAGGTTCAAAAGTGAGCACACAATGACTCCCACGTCACAAGCCGAGAGACCGTTTGGGGAGCAGTCCCGTACTCCCGTCCCAGGCGTAGGACAAACAGCTTCCACAACTCGCTGTTTGGTATAATGCCAGCTACCCAAAGCATTGACCAACCAGTCCTCTTAACAGTGAAAGAAACCACAATAGAAAATCCCTACCGCACTAGAGTAACGGTTAGTTGGCCCGAGAAAGGAGACATTGCAGGAAAGGTTGTGTTACTACATGAGAGCTTCCTGGAGATACTAGAGGTCGGGGTTAAGAAGTATCTTTTCTTGCCTACCAAGATTCTAAGCAAATCAAGGGCAGAAATAGATGATATTGGATTGGTCAGAGATAATGATCATATATTTTTGAAAATAATAATAGAAATCCAGATGTAAAATGACTACTCTGGTCTGTGTTGATAAGCCAATGAAGATGCCCTTCAAGCAGTGGACGCCTAATATATCTTTAACTTTATCCAAATAGTTTTATGTGGGTTAGACAAAAGCGCAGTGCGCTAGAAAGTACCTGTAAAGATTCCAGTGAGGATCATGCCTAGCATTGAACAACATGTTGGATGTGTCTCGGAAAAATGAAGAAATATTAATTAAATAAAATTAATTAATAAATAAAATAGCCAAAGAAAACAGAAATAAGATGGAACAGAATTTAGCCAAAGCTCGTGCTACGCAAGATGTCCTTAAAACGTATTCATCGCCTCTCACGGTGCTAGGAGCGTTGAAAGGACCGTTTCCCAAGGTACGGTGGCTAACGAACTAACGTTTGAGCACACAAACGAATGTTCCACCGAACGGGAACAAAGGAAGAACACTCGATGAATTTTTCAGAGTAGCTGGAGGTATTTTTAGAGCTCAAAATACGTGCAGATAGTGTATGATTGCATGTGAACGTGTGTTTGTTGCAAAGCACCTGTCAGCTATATATAGGAGGATTTGTTGTGTGTTGAATGGAGTGTTAGACCTGAACGTTGGACATAATGACCAGTTCGTTAGGCATTGAATCGTTCATTAACTGTCCATTTAACGCAACATTAAAAGCTAAGAACGTTGGGCATTTATTGTTGTAACGGACCAGAATACGTCGGGTGCGAACATCAGAGTTGGAGCACTTCTGATGCGACCAGAAGACCCCCACCAGAACACCCCCACCAGAACACCTCGAGGTGTTCTGGTGTGAAGCCACCAGAAGACCATGTGGTCTTCTGGTTCAAAAGCCAACAGAGACCATGTCAGGTCTTCTGGTCCAGAGAAGTTCTGCCGCTGAGCAATTCTGATTCTGGGAAAAAATAAAACGTTACGAGAAGAAACCAAAATTAAATCGTATCTTTGAAAGATAGATTTCCGGACGACATTCATGTCCGCAGGTCGCCCGCGTACACGAGTCGCGGTTTTTCTTCTCCGTTTTCGGGATTTGATCGACACCCCGTTATTTGATTGACACCCCGTTTGATCAACTCCTTCAAAGAGGGTTCCCTTTATATGGGTGAAAATCCCTTGGGTTTTCCGATGTGGCATAAACACATTAGAAATCCATTATTTTCCTAGTTTTTCCATTTTTAACGAGTGAACTTCGAAAATCAGTTTCTCATTCACCCGTTATCCGTTTTGACTGTACCACATATCGAATTGTAACCCTTAACAAGGACAATCCGAAACCACTTTGACCCGACCCAAATCGGAAGTGGAACTCACTCAAAAAATTGCCCCAAAATGACCATTTAATACAATTTATTAACACTTTTTCCAACAAAACACTCCAAAATTAAACTGTGCTAATAAAGAAAACAAGTTCAGTTAAACGAGGATGGTCCCTAGTCCATACAACGCTAAATCAAGACCATAACTTAAACCTCACATGAGGAATTTGAATTGAAACAAACCCCAGACTAATCCCAAAATAGAACCAAGTCAATTAAGAGCAAGATGATTTACCTGTTGCAGCAAGCGGAAGACCCGGATTCCGAATCCGATATATGTATACGAAACAGCAGATGAGTTGGAGTGTTCGTTGATAGTTATGAAGCACATAGATGATGATGTCTGTACAGATCTCAAATCACAATCTAACCTTCTGCCTACTTAAATGTTGAACAAAGGTTCACGTGATCAAAGAGAGAATTAATTTTAACTCAATACAAATATTTTTCAGATATCCAAAAAAGGAAATTTATTCAATCTTTTCAGCACAAAAGGACTATAACCTAATTTGCATTGGTACCAATTAACAAACATTTTAAAGGATTTTAGATAATCGGAAAATGCATATATTTCTTTCGTCTCATTTTACGTGTCCTACTTTTCTTTTTGGGTTGTTTTAAAATAAGTATCATATTTCCTTTTTTAAAAAAGAAATATGTGGTTCACATCATTTCACTTTATAATACTTAAATATCAACCACAATTTTTACCTTTCCAATCACCTTATTAATAATTGTGTTAATCTCAAATGAGACATATGAAGTCTAAAATGGGACAGAGGTAGTACAATCTAAATCCGAAAAGTTGAAACCCCAACCACAGGGCCCCCACACTTCGACCCAACAAGGCATTTACGAGGTTGTAAGTCATGGTAACTCGGTCAGCCCAATGGTGGTAGATCTTATATCCGTCCGCACCAGAGGTCTAGTTTAGTACGCAGAAGTTGTAACCTCCACATGACCGCTGTGTGTTTCGATCTTTGATCAATGTTCTAATTTTCCCACGACTGAACCAACTGAGCTACTCGTGCAGGTTACAATCTAAATTCATATATGCCCACTAGTGTAGTGTGGCCATTTCCCTAGCATTATAGGGTTTGTTTTTCCAATGGTGAGCTTCTTCACTGTGTCTGGCAAATTTGGTCTGTCCTCTGTGGTAGTGCGTGAAGGTTGCTTAGGCAGGAATTTGATGTAGAATTGAGATCCATGTAAGTGTTTTTATTATTACTGGACTCTGGTGCGAAGCTTCCACCTGGTGCAAGTTTAGTTCAGAGCTGGATGCGCAGATTCAAGGAGAACGTGATGCACCGGAAGAAGGGTGAGAAAGATGATGTAGTATTGCAACTTCATCCCCTTTCGGAACCGCCGCCAAGGAGGGAAAATATGCTTCAAGTTTGGATTTGGTCACATGTGGATTATTTCTCTGGATTTGTTTCCGGTTTTACTTATGTTTTTTAACTATTTACTATGTTTTTATCTTGCTTGTGTTAGAGGTATTCTGGGGGTGCTTATGGCAGTTATTTACCTCAAATCTCCCGTATGTTCAGTGAAAAATATCGCTCTGTTTTAGGGATTGAGAGAACTCTTCAATTATTTGGAGTTTATTGAAGTGGTAAAGAATACGATGACCTCAAGGGTCAGAAAGAACTCTATGTTGCTCTTTTGGTGGCCAGCGATTCATGTTGCTTCTGTAGAGGTGGCCGTCGTAAAGTCTGATCGTTGAGCTTTTCTTGAGTCTAAATGGAGTCTGTTAGAATTTAGTTGGCATACTTTGAGTTTTTTGGCCGGTTGTAACTCCAAATTATTGGTTACATTAATATAGTTTGACATTTTCTTTCCAAAAAAGGCTTTTAGATGTTTAAAACTTTTAAACGAATTGGTTTTATTGTAAAAAAAATATAATTTATTAACTACTTCGTAATTAACAAACTTGGTAGACAAAATCACCCTTTAAAAATGGCTAAAATTGCTTGGAATGCTTTAAATTAGCAAACGGGAGTGCCTTAATCTTAACTCACACGACTTTTTTTTACAGTAACTTAACTCACACAACTTAAAATTACATCTAGCTTGGAACGATATAGTGTTTGTTTCCGTTATACACTATCGCCCCTTTCCATATAGTGACACCCGCCCTAAACCATAGGCACCTGTTGCCGCTCCCTGTGTTATCTATTTCTATTGGTAACTCTGGCACCTCAGTGACCCCTCGCGATAATAACCTTAACACCCTATGCCCCTAGTGTCCAATAACCCCCCCCCCCCCCTCCCCCCTCCCCCCTCCCCAATGGCCTAACGTCCCTAATACCCATTGACCCGTTGCCACTGATGACCACACTGTCTCAGTGACCGACTGCAACCCATAAGAGAAGAAGGTGCTAGGGTCATTAGTAAGGGCGGCACGGAGTCGCTAGTTATGAGACGGAGTGTCACTGATCGTAATGGGGCAGGTGTCACGGATGTTAGGTAACAACCCCGGCCAACTTTGATTACAGTTTTGTAACCCGCACGGGTAGCTCAGTTGGTCGAGTGGTGAGAGATTTGGAACAATGTACCAAGGTTCGAATCCCCGCAGCGACCGGGTGGAGGTCACAGAACCTGAAATAAAGCTGGACCTCTGGTGCGCACGGGTGTATGGGTCTACTGCCATTCTGCTGACTAAGTCACCGTGACTAACCTCCCCACCATCCTGTCGGGTCGGGTGGGGGGCTCCTGGGTGGGAGATTCCACCTTTGGAACAATTGATTACAGTTTTGTATAGGTTTGGGTTCTATTCGGGTCCCGAACTGATTGATAAACTGAAATCGAAACATTAAGGAACAGGTACCCATTTATTGGGTATCAATATTTTTGGGTCAGTTATTTGAAATTGAAAACCAAATAAAACCAAGTTTATAAAATAAAATAAAAAATTACAAAATATTGAATAATAATACGGGACAATTCGTTTCATTTCTGAAATGAATATATTGGGAATAAGGCTTGGATATTGTGTTGTTATTTCATTTATGAAACAACAAAGGTTTGAGCTGTATAACATCATTAACTCTTATACCAAACTAAATCAGTAAAGAACGATGACAATTCTGTGAGAATATTTGGGAAAAGGTACCCCAATAAGAGTTCTAACACATACGGAGTATATTTATATATAGAAGAGTTTGAGATATACAAGGAAACAAGTATCCTAGTAATATTCTATTACACCCCCTTAAACTGTGCGAGAGATACAACGCGCAGGTTGTCTTTTAAAAAATGAAATTGCTGACTAGAAAGGCTTTTAGTAAAAATATCAACTAACTGTAACTCTGTAGGGATGTACTTCACAACTAAGTCTCCATGAGCCACACGCTCTCTAACAAAATGATAATCAATCTAGATGTGCTTGCTACGAGCATGTTGAACAGGATTTGCAGTCAAATATGAAGCAGAGATGTTATCACAAAAAAGTTGTACAGGAACGGTACCTGGAAAACCAAGCTCAAACAGCACTGAACGAATATGCAATGTATCTTGGACAGTGTAGGCAACGGCTCTATACTCGGCCTCTGTAGATGACTTGGAAACTGTAGGCTGCTTTTTGGACTTCCACAAAACAAGGTTGAGACCTAAGAACACGATAAAACCTGTCATGGAGCGAGGCGTATCTGGACAGCCGGCCTAATCAGCATCAGAATATTCAATAACACATGTGGCTCGAATAGTCGGCTGAAGCCACAATCCATGATCCAAAGTCCCCTGCAAGTACCTAAAAATGCGCTTGACTGCAAATAGATGAGTAGTACGAGGGACATGCATAAATTGAGATACTAAATGCACGGCATAGGTAATATCAGGTCGTGTCAAGGTTAAATATTGTAACGCACCAACCATACTCCGATATTCAGTGGCATATGTAAGAAGTTCCCCATCAGTGAGGGATAGAGAAGTGCGAGTAGCAAGAGGAGTACGAACAAATTTAATAGTGTGAAGATGGAAATGAGAAAGTAGATCAGACACATATTTATGCTGAGAAAGAAATAAACCCTTAGTGGAACGCACTGCCTTAACTCCCAAAAAGTAATGAAGATCACCGAGATCTTTCATAGCAAAATACTTAGCAACAAGCTGAATAAAAGATGTAATTGCAACAGAAGAATTGCCAGTAATAATTATGTCATCTACATATAATAATAATAAATAACAGTATTATTATGGCGGTAAATGAATAATAATTATCTGACTTGCTGCATAAAAAATGATGATACAATAAAAAGCTACTAAAGCGATGAAATCATGCCTGCGGGGCTTGCTTAAGGCCATAAATGGCTATTCGCAATCTACATAAATGATTAGGAAATAAAGGATGTATAAAACCACGTGGCTGATGCATATAGACTTCCTAAGTTAGGTGGCCATGTAAAAATGCATTTTTGACATCCAATTGATGAATGACCCACCCTAAAGAAATAGCTAACGTAAAAAACAATACGAACAGTAGTTGGTTTTATGACAGGACTAAAAGTTTCAGAGAAATCTACACCTGCTTGTTGATTAAACCCCTGAGCAACCAGACGAGCTTTGTGGCGCTCAATGGAACCATCCAAATTATACTTAGTCTTATAAATCCACTTAGAGCCCACAACATGTTTAGTGTTATCAAACGGGACTACATCCCAAGTATTATTAGAAATAAGAGCATTAAATTCCCCAGCCATGGCCTCTCGCCATTTTAACTGTTTATTAACCTCAGAAAAACAAGTAGGATCAGCTAATAAGACATCAGTGTTTACATTGAAAATGGTTTTGGGTTTAAAAATTCCCGATTTCGCCCTGGTTTGCATTGGGTGATGGTTTATACGTGGTGCACGAGGAGCAGGGGTTGACGACACAGTATCCGTGGGTAATGGAGGCGCAGGGGAGAAATCGGAAGAGGCAGTAACAGGAGTGTCTGGCTGGGAGGATTCCGGAGGGACATGGGATGGGCTGGGTGTGCGGTTGGAAGCTATGGGCGGAGTGGGTGGTGGATGAGAGTGTACTGGCGGTGTATGGCGGGCACAGGGGTGCTATGTGCAACCGGAGGAGCTGGGTTAGGGTGATGAATTGAATTGGGAATACGGTTAGTGGAGGTGGTGTTTGTAAGAGTAAAATCATCAATGAGAGGAAGAGATGATGTGGAGGAAGTATGACCCGTAGAGGAAGATAATGTGGTAAATGAAAAAATATTTTCATGAAAATGAACATGTCTACTAACAAAGACTTTGCCTGACTTGGGCTCAAAACAACGATAACCTTTAAAATCGGACGCATAGCCAAGAAAAACACATTGAACAGAGCGAGGGGAAAGTTTATTTGAAGAAGATGCAGAAAAATTGGGATAACACCCACACCCAAAAACACGTAAAAAACTATAATCAGGAGGTTTTTGAAAAAGAATGTCATATGGAGAAACGCCACAGAGATTAGGAGTAGGAAGTCTGTAAATAATATATGCGGCTGTAAAAATAGCATCAACCAAAAAGGTGATAGGAATAGAGGGTG